CGTCGAAAACCTTCCACGAAAAGGCCGTGCGCGACCGGCCTCAAGCAGTTGTCCCTTGGGCACTGGGGTCACGCTCTCAGGTCACTGAGACCACCTCTAATCCAATTTCCTTTTCAGGTACCTCCAGAAGAACCCTTCCACGGTGTGGGCAACCGGGAAGTGATAACCGCCCTCATACCTCTAACAGCACCCAAGACCACTGTATTCATAATCAACCTTCCTCTTCAATTCCTATTATTCCTCCTACATCGACTTTCAACTCTAAACTTCCTCCTTCGGCTTCCTCCTCAAGTGTCACCATAGCCAACGATTCTAGTGCTCAAAACTCTGTCCCAGGTCTACTGAAACCTCGCTCCAAACTACACATTGGAGCTTTCAACGTACGCACTCTATGTCAAATCGGTCAGCAGGCTTCCTTGGCTAAAACCCTAGAGTCTCTTTCCATTGATGTATGCTGTGTCTCTGAAACACGCATACAGGATCCCAGTGTGGTCATTCACTTGACCTCACCTCGGCAAAACGGAGAGCCAACGAGATACACCCTTCGTGTATCTGGTGACCCGATGGCCAGTTCTCGTGGACTGGCAGGTGTAGGCATAGCACTAAGCATGAGGGCGTAACAAGCATTGCTAGAGTGGATCCCCGTCAACAGTCGTCTATGTGCTGTTCGGCTGAACGGCTACGTAAGAACTCGGAAGGATAGGGACACACGTCGTTGCCTTTTTGTCGTTTCTGTCTACTCTCCCACCGACTGCAGCTCAGATGAAGTGAAAGATGAATTTTACAGAAAGCTGTCCGAACTTCTTCAGAAAGCTAAACGCTCAGACATAGTACTCGTAGCAGGTGATTTTAATGCTCAGATAGGAAGCTTAAACCAAACAGAAAGGCATTTAGGTGGATATTTTAGTATTCCGACACAGCGAACACATAATGGTGATCGTCTGCTACAGCTATGCTCAGACAATCGTTTATTTTTAGCAAACACAAATTTTAAGCATAAGGAGAGACATCGTCTAACATGGCGACCCCCTACACCAAACCAACGATGGACTCAAATAGACCATATTGCCATCAGTCATCGTTGGAGAGGGTCGGTAGAAGATTGTCGCTCATTCTGGAGTACCTGCTTGGACTCCGACCATGCCCTAATACGGGCACGCATCTGCTTGCGCCTCACTGGACGCAAAAAAGCCACATTAAAAAGACCCGTTAGAACTGAGTTGAGTAACGAGAAAACCAAAAGTAGGTTCCAGGAACAACTGAGGTCACACTTAGGTAGTTGTGAAGACGAGGCTGACCCAGATGTTGCTTGGAAGGGCATACAATCAGCTGTGGAAACAGCAGTGACATCTATTAGTGACTTAAACCACAGAGTTGCAAGGAACCAGTGGATTTCTTCAAGGTCTGTCACACTGATGGATTCTCGCAAACTCATCCCATCAGGTTCTGAACATGATGAAGAGCGAAAACAAATCAGATCTAGGTTAAGAAAAAGTCTAAGGAACGACCGTGAGCAGTGGTAGGCAATGAAAGCAAAAGAGATGGAAAAGGCGGTGACTATAGGGAACACAAGACAGCTCTACAGACTAATAAAAGAAACTGGAACTAATAAGTCAAGTGTAAGTGCGATTATATCAGAAAAAGACGATACTCTCATCTGCTCCCAGTCCAGACGTTTAGAACGATGGGCGGAACATTTTAGAGAACAGTTCAGCTGGCCTTCAGCTACTCTACAACTACCCTTCATTTCCAGACAATGTGAATGGAACATTGAAGTAGGTCCCCCAACTCTTGCTGAAGTTCAAAAGGCTATAGTTAATCTGAAACGAGGAAGGGCAGCTGGTCCAGATGGATTGTCTCCAGAGGTCTTTAAGGATGGTGGTCCAATTTTAGCGATTAGGTTGACTAATATTTTAGCTAAGATCTGGGAATTAGACTTTATCTCATCTGACTGGTCGCAATCACTTATCGTCCCAATATATAAGAAAGGGTCAAAATCATCCTGTGACAACCACAGAGGGATTAGTTTAACAAACATAGTATCTAAAATACTGGCCTCGATAATTATCAGACGTCTAACTAAGACTCGTGAACTACAAACTCGAGAGAACCAAGCTGGCTTCAGACCTGGTCGTGGCTGCATCGACCACATATTCACCATTCGTCAGGTTCTAGAACACAGGCATACCTATCGGCGTCCGACGATGGTGGTCTTTCTTGACTTAAAAGCAGCGTTTGACTCTGTAGACCGCGAGACTCTGTGGCAGTGTCTGTCATTGAAAGTCGTACCTCAGAAGTACATAAACCTTGTGAAGGCTCTTTACTCGAACACTACTAGTCGAGTCAGAGCTTATGGCGAACTGTCATCTACTTTTGCAACTTCAAGTGGTGTCCGTCAAGGCTGTCCACTTTCTCCATTTTTGTTTAACTTCATCATAGACCTATTGATGGAAATAACACTCTCGTCGACTGAATTCTCGGGTATTGATCTCCTTCCAGGAGGTCCACTTATCGACTTAGAATACGCAGATGATATAGTCCTGTTTGGTGAAGAGGCTGACAAAATGCAGTCTTTTGGTAGCACTAAGCAACAATACCAGAATGTTTGGGATGCGCTTCTCTCCCTCTAAATGCAAGCTGCTGCTTCAGGACTGGTCTGCGTCAACACCTGTACTAAGGATAGGGAGTGAAGTAGTCGAACGCGTCGACAACTTCACTTATCTTGGAAGTCTGATCAGCCCTAATGGGTTGGTGTCTGACGAAATCTCAGCACGGATTCGAAAAGCTCGTTTGGCTTTTGCCAACTTACGTCACCTTTGGCGGAGGCGAGATATCCGTCTATCAATAAAAGGACGAGTATACTGCGCGGCAGTCCGTTCTGTCTTACTTTACGGCAGCGAAACATGGCCTTTAAGAGTAGAAGACACCCGTAAGCTACAAGTATTTGACCACAGATGCCTTAGAAATATTGCTGGCATCACCGGGTAAGTAATAGTGAGGTTAGACGTAGGGTATTAGGGAATGATGGTAAATCAGTTGATGAGGTTATGAATCTTCATCGACTGAGATGGTTGGGCCACGTATTACGTATGCCTGAACACCGATTACCACGACGTGCAATGCTACCCGGTGTAGGGGATGGTTGGAAGAAAGTCAGGGTTGGCCAAACCAAAACGTGGCATCAGTGCTTGAAGACACTAACTTCTAGTCTGAGCCATGTTGGTAGATGCAGACTACTTGGTTGGGGTCCGCGTGACTATCGTAACCAATGGTTGGAGACTCTTGGTGACATGGTTCAGAATCGATCACAGTGGCGTCGGTGTATACACTCTCTGTCTTCCCTTAAACTAAGAGATTAAAATTGCTTCATATCTTTCTTTCTACGAACTATTTCTTCCTTCCTATACTTTATCCTTATTGCAACCTTTGACCTAACCACTCCTATGAATCCGGTGTTCATCTTGTTGTGCTAATGAGGTATGGCAACCTGGACCGATGCACATATGTGCCTGGTCCTACGTTGTAGCTGACTGACTGACATTTGGTGTTAGACTTAAGGGAACATAAAGGATGGGTGGTGTAATAGTCGAGTGAAGCTCAGAAGCATATAAGATAAATTGTGTGATAATTCTAGATGTAATGAATAAATCAGTGAATTAAGAACTAATAAGATAAGTGAAGACAATCTGAAGAGTTAACATAATTTAGCAAAGAAGTGTGAGTGGAAAGATGGTCTAAGGATTACGTAATCCATCTTATCAAGGAACTAGCTGCATGAAATTGTCTAGTTCCATACTAATACTAACTTGATAATGGACGTAATCTGACAACGGAAAATATGTAAGGCGGTTGTTTAGTCTGTAAGGTTTTACGTGGAAGTCGCATTGTTGTTTTATTTGACTCGGTTGATTCCTCACAATGAACAACGATATAACGCTAAGTTCTAACGACAGTTCGTAACTAATACAGTAGTACAAATTCTTAATTTCCACACACAATTATTCGTTAAAGCGATTGGTAAACCTCCCCATGAAAGTATGAAGAAGACGAAAATAAAAAATGAGAAAAAGTTTATTGATTTTTCATGACTACTAAAGTGGAAAGATAAGTTTACAAGTTGTATAAATAGTGGTATAAAATAAAGCCACAAAGAACTGTTAATCGTAAACCTGCTGTCTAGCTGTTTATAATTCTTAAGTAAAAATTGTAGACTTTTCTCTCCACCTGATTCGCGAAGCGTTCACCATATTTCTCAACAATTTGTTGTTTGCACATTCTTTGGAGCCGTTGAAGTTGTATATATTCTTTACTCCGTCTCGGTAATGAAATTCCTGTGTTGTTTTGTAAATTGTGCGTATTGTCTATTTTCCATCTGCAGCAACACCTAAGAAGTTGATGAGCTATGCAGTTTATATTTTATAATTTAAATAGCTTACCTGTTAGACTTCGTCTTTTAATATATGCCAGCAGGAGATGGCGGCACGGATATCGACACATATTAAACGTGCTACAATTGCATTCACAAATACTTACATCCACTTCGTAATGAAAGGCGCACAAAATAATGTTTGCATGCCCGTGCGTTATACGGACAGCCGCGCTTTCAGATCGTGCGCAATCCATCACAAATGTTTCTGTTTTGGTCGTGTTACCCATTATCTCCTTGAATTTATCCAAAACCCACGTAACATCCGCACGCTTTTCTTTTTGTGTCCATGCAAACATAACAGTTCGACCTCGGCCCCAACTGTCTGTCACCACTAACTGGAATAATGAATATCTACATAGTAGAACAAAACGAAAATCATATTCACTTTTTATTATTAGTTTTATAAGTAGAATCAATACACACGACTTCGGGATATTGACTGTACAGCCGTATCTGATCATAACTGCTGAAGCATATCGCCGTAATACATCCACTTTCTGCATGCTCTCTAACTTCACCGTTTTGTCGCATCATCTGCAATACCTGCTTCCGAGTCCAACCTGAAATATATTTATATACACTTACCAGTGGAGAGTTCAGCTTTCATATTTTTCACATCAGCAGCGGTCACCTGCTTACCTGTTCTTTCCATAATACTTTCGATAACTTCGTCCGTCGACTGACAGTGCAATATAACTGGTTTCAAGTTTTCTTTTTCTTCTGATGACAATCGTTTACTCAACGGATCACAAACCATCCACGAACTAGTACACCGATGGTTGTGAGACATGTTGTAAGATTTTATAACGTATTGTTGACCCTCCAATCTTACGCGAAACATCGATTGGCAATTTAAAAATTTAGACCTTAAATGTAACACATTAGTTAGAGTCCTCACGGTTTTTTATTCACATTCAGACCTTCTGATTTACGTTTACGACCAAACGTGCAACAAAACACTACGAACAAGTATTTATATCTCACATCCTTCAACAATCTACTTTCTGCGTGAACATAGTGTGTATGGGTCATCTGAGAAAACATAGGTTTATCCTATCATACTTTAATCCAGCTTCCGAATCTCTTGTTCAGCATAATACGTTGGAACGCGTCGCTTACGTTCACTGAAATTTCACTTGAGCATGAAGCACTCGAGACAACATACAATAGTTATTAAAAAAAAGGTTATTCCTTGAAAAAAATTAACTGAAGGAGGAACAACAAATATTTTTCCCGACCGTTGTTGCTACCTTGACGTGGTGGTCGGGCTTGCCTATCGTGATGAAGCAACCGAGCTATACTGGCTGGAACAACCGTTCCTCAAGGTCCTACCATGTCAGGCAGGTCGGTTGAAGAGCGGTAAGACTAAAAGCAACAAACCCAAGGTCCGAAGGCGAAGTCGTACTGCTGACTGTACAGAGGTGTGACAGCAGTAAGGTGTTTCCTTCAGACTACCAGCATGACAGCGATGCTGCCTTCCCACAAGGAGGGGTGGGGTTGGAAAAGGTCGACCCTAAAAATGCACACCTCACCTTACCTCACGGATTTCCGTCTCCGGCGGTAAGGCCCCTTGAAGAACGGAGCTAACACGTCGAAAACCTTCCACGAAAAGGCCGTGCGCGACCGGCCTCAAGCAGTTGTCCCTTGGGCACTGGGGTCACGCTCTCAGGTCACTGAGACCACCTCTAATCCAATTTCCTTTTCAGGTACCTCCAGAAGAACCCTTCCACGGTGTGGGCAACCGGGAAGTGATAACCGCCCTCATACCTCTAACAGCACCCAAGACCACTGTATTCATAATCAACCTTCCTCTTCAATTCCTATTATTCCTCCTACATCGACTTTCAACTCTAAACTTCCTCCTTCGGCTTCCTCCTCAAGTGTCACCATAGCCAACGATTCTAGTGCTCAAAACTCTGTCCCAGGTCTACTGAAACCTCGCTCCAAACTACACATTGGAGCTTTCAACGTACGCACTCTATGTCAAATCGGTCAGCAGGCTTCCTTGGCTAAAACCCTAGAGTCTCTTTCCATTGATGTATGCTGTGTCTCTGAAACACGCATACAGGATCCCAGTGTGGTCATTCACTTGACCTCACCTCGGCAAAACGGAGAGCCAACGAGATACACCCTTCGTGTATCTGGTGACCCGATGGCCAGTTCTCGTGAACTGGCAGGTGTAGGCATAGCACTAAGCATGAGGGCGTAACAAGCATTGCTAGAGTGGATCCCCGTCAACAGTCGTCTATGTGCTGTTCGGCTGAACGGCTACGTAAGAACTCGGAAGGATAGGGACACACGTCGTTGCCTTTTTGTCGTTTCTGTCTACTCTCCCACCGACTGCAGCTCAGATGAAGTGAAAGATGAATTTTACAGAAAGCTGTCCGAACTTCTTCAGAAAGCTAAACGCTCAGACATAGTACTCGTAGCAGGTGATTTTAATGCTCAGATAGGAAGCTTAAACCAAACAGAAAGGCATTTAGGTGGATATTTTAGTATTCCGACACAGCGAACACATAATGGTGATCGTCTGCTACAGCTATGCTCAGACAATCGTTTATTTTTAGCAAACACAAATTTTAAGCATAAGGAGAGACATCGTCTAACATGGCGACCCCCTACACCAAACCAACGATGGACTCAAATAGACCATATTGCCATCAGTCATCGTTGGAGAGGGTCGGTAGAAGATTGTCGCTCATTCTGGAGTACCTGCTTGGACTCCGACCATGCCCTAATACGGGCACGCATCTGCTTGCGCCTCACTGGACGCAAAAAAGCCACATTAAAAAGACCCGTTAGAACTGAGTTGAGTAACGAGAAAACCAAAAGTAGGTTCCAGGAACAACTGAGGTCACACTTAGGTAGTTGTGAAGACGAGGCTGACCCAGATGTTGCTTGGAAGGGCATACAATCAGCTGTGGAAACAGCAGTGACATCTATTAGTGACTTAAACCACAGAGTTGCAAGGAACCAGTGGATTTCTTCAAGGTCTGTCACACTGATGGATTCTCGCAAACTCATCCCATCAGGTTCTGAACATGATGAAGAGCGAAAACAAATCAGATCTAGGTTAAGAAAAAGTCTAAGGAACGACCGTGAGCAGTGGTAGGCAATGAAAGCAAAAGAGATGGAAAAGGCGGTGACTATAGGGAACACAAGACAGCTCTACAGACTAATAAAAGAAACTGGAACTAATAAGTCAAGTGTAAGTGAGATTATTTCGGAAAAAGATGATACTCTCATCTGCTCCCAGTCCAGACGTTTAGAACGATGGGCGGAACATTTTAGAGAACAGTTCAGCTGGCCTTCAGCTACTCTACAACTACCCTTCATTTCCAGACAATGTGAATGGAACATTGAAGTAGGTCCCCCAACTCTTGCTGAAGTTCAAAAGGCTATAGTTAATCTGAAACGAGGAAGGGCAGCTGGTCCAGATGGATTGTCTCCAGAGGTCTTTAAGGATGGTGGTCCAATTTTAGCGATTAGGTTGACTAATATTTTAGCTAAGATCTGGGAATTAGACTTTATCTCATCTGACTGGTCGCAATCACTTATCGTCCCAATATATAAGAAAGGGTCAAAATCATCCTGTGACAACCACAGAGGGATTAGTTTAACAAACATAGTATCTAAAATACTAGCCCGATCGAAGCTGCTACCTTGACGCGGTGGTCGGGCTTGCCTATCGTGATGATCCAACCGAGCTATACTGACTGGAACATATGTTCCTGTAGGTTCTACCATGCCAGGCAGGTCGATTGGTGAACGGTAAGACTAAAAGCAGCAACTCAAGGTCTGAGGGCGAAGTCGTACTGCTGACTGTATAGAGGTGTGACAGCAGTAAGGTGTTTCCCTCGGACAACCAGCATGACAGCGATGCTGCCTTCCCACAAGGAGGGGTGGGGTTAGAAAAGGTCGACCCTAAAAATGCACACCTCACCTTACCTCACGGATTTCCGTCTCCGGCGGTAAGGCCCCTTGAAGAACGGAGCTGACACGTCAAAAACCTTCCACAAAAAGGCCGTGCGCGACCGGCCTCAAGCAGTTGTCCCTTGGGCTCTGCGGTCACGCTCCCAGGTCGTCAAGACCAACACTAATCCAATTTCCTTTTCAGGTTCCTCAAGAAATACCCTTCCACGGTGTGGGCAGCCGGGAAGTAACATCAGCCCTCATACCCGTAACAGCACAAGAGACCAAGGTGGTCACATTCAAATCCTTCCTACACCTCCTAATACCTCTCTTATCCTCCCGACTAACCCTCCTCACGTCTCTTTATCACCTCGCACCGCTAGGGCAAACGATTCGAGTACGTGGAACGCCATTCCTGGTCTCCTGAAACCACGCTCTAAACTACACGTAGGAGCTTTTAACGTACGAACACTTTGCCAAATAGGACAGCAGGCTTCCTTAGCTAAAACTTTAGAATCTCGCGCCATCGATGTGTGCTGCGTCTCCGAAACGCGCATACAGGATCCAAGTAGCGTCATTCATTTGACCTCACCATGCCAAAATAAAGAACCGACTCGATTTACGCTTCGTGTATCTGGAAGCCCTGATTCTGCTTCCCGTGGCCTCGCCGGCGTAGGTATAGCATTGAGTCCTAGGGCAGAACTAGCTCTCTTAGAGTGGATCCCAGTAAACAGTCGTTTGTGCGCTGTCCGACTGAACGGAACAGTAAGAATCCGGAAAGATAGGGACACTCGTCGTTGCCTCTTCGTCGTGGAGAAGGCGCGAACAATGAATTGAATGTACTGGAGTTGATCGAGTGGCATGGCTCGACCATGCAGGCGTGGTCCATCTCAATGTTACTTTATATCTTCTATTCATATTAAATATATTGTTCTTTCTAGCCTAACCTTGTTCTACATCATGTATTGGTAATTGATACGATACAGTGAGTTGGTGTGGTCGATGGTGTGACTTCCACGTAAGATCTTATAGATTAGGCAGTTATATCATGACGAATCTACAAATTTAGTATTAGGTCTATTATTAGAGCAGTACTAATATCATAGTAGACCATAGTTCTACATTGGTGAGCCCAACTAACGAAACGCAACCTATTTTAATAGGATTAACAATATATTGTTAATCCTTATTTCCACTTAAACTTTCTCGATCGATTTATATATATGTTAACCCAGTATTCTAATAGTCCTCTGAATAATGCTCACATGCATTGTCGTGATGTTATATTGATTACTTCTCATAACATACTAGGTCAATCGATAGTAAAACTGGTCGTCTAAATTAACTAATTAGCTTTGATGGTTCGTTAACAAGCTTTAATAGCATTTATATGCTTCAGCGACATAGTCTTGTTTAAACATCAAGCTCTAGCAAATACGACATGCAAATAACGTAAATATGCATTGACTAACAACGTAAGCAAGGACTAAATAGTTATCTGGATCTAATTCTTAATGCTCCTTCACTTAACACCTCATCCTGTTTTAAACTATGCACTATCCTGTAATATCTTTCTTCCGACCACTGCCTGCCTAATTTCATATTCTCGAGTTCCATTGCCAAACAACAAGGATGACACTTTAAAAACATGCGGTGAGTTTTAGTCATAAGTTTTCTGCAATCATAAGGTCATTTTAGATGGCTCGTTCAATGGTGACCGCACAATTATCTGGATTCATTCGGTTGTTCTGATCCGAGCGAGTGGCAAAAACGTCAACAGCATCAAGCACCCTGGAATTAATTGCCATACTGCATGTTTTATTCTGGATACTTTTGGATCATTACTACTCCTCACGAATGGCGTTATATATGTCGTCCACTGAATAATATAATCGAAAATAACCCAGGCGAGTTCAACTATTTTACTTAGTTATGTTTTTTTGCACTTAACATGTATATGTTTTTCAGTTGCTTTTGCCATATATTTGTAAGTGTCACTAAGCTAAATGCAGTAACTTCTTATGGAAGGTTTATAACGCATCATATTCCTGCCTGAAGTTTCACAAGCAGTCTTAACTTTAAAATTATTTTCTGGTCATGTTCATTATTTTTAAATTTTTATATACGTCAACAACCTGCATGTTAACCTGGCCCGTACATACGTTTTACTATATCTTCATATC